ATGGCCGGTTAGGGGTGGCTGTGTCTCCTCAAACAGCCAGGCATGGCCTGGCCCCCGCCTCCTATCTTCCCCAACCCCCCTGCTTCTCACCCCCTGACAGCTCCCCCGGGACTCCTGTCCCATCCAACGCCTCTGTCCCCTGACAGCCCCCTCGGGACTCCTGCCCTATCCACTGCCCCCTGCCGCCCCATCCAACCCCCTTCCTCTCATTCCTGACTGCCTCCCCCCCCGGGACCCCTGCCCCATCCAACCCCCCCGTTCCCCGTCCTCTGACCACCCCGCCCCCTGACCACCACCCCCAACTCCCCTGCCCTCTATCCAACCCCCGCTACCCCCTTACCGCGCTGCCTGGAGCACCCGAGGCTGGTGGCGCTACGGTGGCGCTACGGCTGCGCCGCCCAGAGCACTCGGTCAGGTCGCAGCTCTGCAACTCCACTGCCCGGCCCCCCGAGCATTGCGCTGGTGGCGCAGCTGAGGCTGCGGGGGAGGGGGAACAGCAGGGGAGGGGCCAGGGACTAGCCTCCCGGGCCAGGAGCTCAGGGGCCGGGCAGGAGGGTCCCGCAGGCCAGATGTGGCTCGCGGGCCATAGTTTGCCCACCTCTGGTGTAAACAGACCCTTAGACCAGGCTGAGTGCTTCCTCTTCAGCATTTGTCTGGATCCCTCCCACAGTCTAGACCTTTCATGACCTGTAGTGTCTCTGGGATGTGTGAAAGACTGGCTGCTACTGGAGAGCTTAGCCCAGAGAGGTCTGAGCAACAGGACTGGCTGTCTCTAGGGAAGAGCCGCAATAGACTGTCCTTTACATAGTGTGTGGCCTCCTCAAAGCACCTCGTTCTTTTTAACTGGCCCTTGCAGATCCCCTGGGAAGCAGGGTGCATCAGGATCCCTGTGGTCCAACCCGTGCTTGTCTTGCATCTTCTGAGAGCAAGCCAAGAGGTGGCCAGTCTTCCTTCAGTCACTCTCTATCATTCTCAGTAATACTCTGCTACTCCAGTCCCAGGGCTTCACAGAGTGACCCCACCTGCATCTGCATTGTCTGCATGTTCTGAGAATTGGTTCGGTTCATGGATGGGTGGGGTCGGTGGGTGGGAACTGAGGCGGGGTGTCTGGCCCAAAGCGATGGAGGGAATTGGTGTCTGGAGTTGGGATTAGAGCTCAGGATCTGGTTCATCGTTCCCAGTCCTGTGTGTAAGTCCTGGTCTGCTTCTCTTAATGTCTTGATGGGCCTTCAAATGGAAGGCACTGCCCCTGTATAGAGAGCTGGCCCCAGAACTAAACTGTGATGTGAAAGGGGCAGTAAAACAAGATGCTGAGGAAATTTATCCCTTAACCTATTCTTCCCTTCCCCACTTTTCCTCCTTACCCAGTAGGATACTGTTGAGGATGCAGGTGAACCCACTGCATGTGCACATGTGCTAGAAGTGCTGTGTAGACAGTGAACCTGTCCAGATCTCAGTAGTCGCTATGGAATTTAATCTCCTTCCCTGAGAGCAGTAACAAGTGCTAGAGCAGGCAGCAGTGCAGTCCGGAGAGCAAACCTCCCATTCGCATAAAAATACCTGCCGCTGACTGCTGGGTCTGTGCTCCGAACTGAACCTATTTAAAGGTTTTGCCATAATAGGAGCGAGTGTCTGGCCCCAGTTAGACTATGGCTTTGTAAAAGACGTGCTCCTTGCAGGATATGCAGCTCCTCGCCTGGCAGCCAGCTTGTTACTCTGGATTGCTCTTGCTTCCTTAAGACTTGTTACAGACCCACTGATTTACTAGAGCTGCTTCTCCAAACCATCTGTTCCCACCATGAGCTGGGGAGAGTGAACATCCTTGATTGTAACTTCAGTCGATTAGTGCTCTCACTATGCAGCCAGGCTGACTTTTTCCCTGCTCTCCAAGGGGATGACTCTTATTTTTAAATGGTTTTTCCATGTATTGATTCCCTTTGCACAATGGCTTGAGCTGTCTTACCCATTTACACCATTACCTTACTTTAAGAGCTCATAAAATATCTTACTACACTTGGCAAATAGCTGTAGAGATCTTCGGGGTGTGTGCGAGGCAGGGGGAAGAGCAGTGGTCCTCGTTCCTTAGGCAGGTAGGTGTGGGGGCTTTGTGTGAACATCACCAAGGGCAGTATTAGACAACTCAGACTTGAAAAAACAAAACCAATCCCCCGCCCCCCAAACAGCACAACAGAACCAAACCCCACCTTCTCACTCAAATATTTCACTGTCGTTTTGTTAAGGGAGTTAGCTTTTTCTGAATGCTCCTCCCACTGCTGACATCCTCTGCAGCCCCAGCAACCCAAGACAAAGAGTAAATCATTAAAATCTAAAAAATAATCTCTACCGCCCCACAGGCTTTTACCCGAAAAGGAAGAAGAGCTGAGACTCTCTGGAGTCTGCTAGGGGCTTGGCTATTGCTGTTGATTTTACAGGTCTCCGTATGCTAGGGAGAAGGGTGGCAGTTTAAAACTCTAAGATAGTTGTTCAATTTGGACACTGGTGCATCCAGGAAAAAGCCATTGAAGACATCAGTGGGGGAATGAAGGCAGTTTTCTGTGGGTTTTTTTTTTTTCATATTATCCTACTGTGGGAAGGGAGGGGTGGCAGAATGCACAAAATCCTCAAACTCTGGAAACATCACTTAATTATTTAGCTTAAAGGGGTTCTCAAACTGGGGGTCGGGACCCCTCAGGGGGTCACAAGGTTATTACATGGGGGGGTCATGAGCTGTAAACCTCCACCCCAAACCCCGCTTTGCTCCAGCATTTATAATGGTGTTAATTATATTAAAAAGTGTTTTTAATTTATTAGGGGGGTCGCAGTCAGAGGCTTGCTATGTGAAAGGGGTCACCATTTAAAAAGTTTGAGCGCCACTGGATGAGCTAACTCCAGCCTGCATCAGGTTCTGGTGTGCTTATCTCAGCCTCCCCCTTCCACATCCCAACCACCGACTGTGACAGCTGGGTTTCAGAGTAGCAGCCGTGTTAGTCTGTATTCACAAAAAGAAAAGGAGTACTTGTGGCACCTTAGAGACTAACAAATTTATTTGAGCATAAGCTTTCTTTCTTTCGGATCGATGAAGTGAGCTGTAGCTCACGAAAGAAAGCTTATGCTCAAATAAATTTGTTAGTCTCTAAGGTGCCACAAGTACTCCTTTTCTTAAAGTTGGGTTGTTTCCTGAACACCATTGCTCCTGTATTGAGGACCTTTCTCCATCTCTTCTGCACACAACACTCCCCTTCCTACTGTCTCCTGTAGCTTGTGGCTTTAGGAGGGTTGAGGTGGGTTTTCATTTCATTGGGTTTTTTAAAATTGGATCCTTTTGTTGTGAATAGAATCCTAGACCATAAAGGACCTAGAGCACAGTCTGTAGTAGTCAATAGGGCTACCTAGCACATCTCTCCAAGGGGAACAGAGCAATGCTTTTCAGCTTTGTGAAGCACTGGGAGAGCCTTCAGGACTGGTGCTAAGTGACTTAACTAAGGCCACGCAGCAAATTGGTGTTAGAGCTGGGAAGAGAGCCCAGGTCTCCTGAGTCCCAGTCTATTTGAGGTACTGTGCTCTTGCCCAAGGCCCTGGTTGCTCAGCAGTGCCCATGCAGCATGTCTCTTGCATGACCTAATATACAGGGCTGTGTAGTTGTTTGCCCCTTTGCTTGGGAAGGAGAGATTTGAAGCTTAGGGGTGTGTGTTTGTGTGTGTGTTTCCTCCACTCTGGTTCTTTGGCTTTGAAATTTTACAGTTGTATGTGCATGTAGATGAGGCAATAGGCACTTCTAATGCATTGAACAAATAAACACTGAGCCCGCCTGTAATGCTTGCTCCCAGGCGAGAGCGCTGAGGATACAGTAGTGACTTTCTTCTGCTATTTGCACTAGCCCTTAATATTCCCTTAATTTGCTCACAGTCTGATCATGCCTGTGTGGCCTCTGTACTCCTCATGCCAAACCCTTGGGTTTGAACAGTAAGTATGGAAAGAGCGATTCTTTCTCCCCTCTCCACCCAGTAGATTACATTAGCTGTATCATTCACTTCAATGTCTGATATGAGGTATAAATTGTCCCCTTCTCTATATCTCTCTGCCTCACCCGACACTCCGGCTCCTTTCTTCATCTCCTCTAACCCTTAATCCCTTTCTGCCTTTGCTCTTTTACTCTGCAGAGCATTTTGAGATCAGCTCCTGTGACAGGCACCTCACCCCCAGGAAGAGGGAGAAACCATGACCACCATTAACCATTTATTTGCTCTCCCCTTGTTCTAAAGTGCCTGTCCAGACCCACTTGATTTGCAGTAAACAGATTTAATGGATTTGGATTTGCAGCCTTCTGTATGTTTTTTTTCTCTCTCACGGTTATGTCTAAAGTAATTAGAGGGGAGAGGTGAAGAACGAAAGTTTGTGGAAATGAGACTGGCTTGCCTGGGGCTGCTTCAGACCTTTCCATCAGCAGTAACTCTTGTCCCAAACTAATGCAATTTTTGGATAGACCTGTTCCCAATCAAATGCATGGCTGCCAATTAGGAGAACTGTGAGTCTGATCCTTTGATAGATGCAATGAAAATGGGGCTTGGGAGCAATTAGATTCTGAAGCAACAGAAGTCAGCTTTTGCATGTTTGATGTCTGGAGTTTAGAGGAGACTTTTTCACTTAATGAGTTAAAAATGATCCTTTCTTCCCTGCTGCATGTTTTCTCAATTGGATCGTAGGCTCTTCAGGGTAGTGACTTTGCCACCCACTAGAGAGTTGCAAAGATATTAAAGAAATTAACCTAATGGAAACACACCTCATTGGAAATTGAGCATTTGCTTTGAGTTCTGTGTACAGAGCTTGAGGGAGGATGGTATGTCCCAGGCTATGAGCCACATCTCTCGGACAGTAGTTCTCGGGGTGCGGCTTGTTGGAGGCCTGACTTTTTCTTTGTGGACAATAGAAACTGCCTTCTGTTTGGGGAAGTGTTTCCTGTGACTCTTGCCCTAACGTCCATTATTCCATCTTTCTTCAAGGCTCCCACTGTCCTGCGTGCGCCATCATTGACAAGTCTGCAGTAAAGATGTCCAGCCACCACACAAACCATGTGATGAACAGCTCCATGGAATCAACCTCTGAGCATTATCATCTGACCTCGGAACATCATCACCCTACAACATCACCGGGGCACAATCATGGAGAAGGGATGATGATGATGGTAAGTGAAGTCCAGAAAAGTACGCATCATCCAGAGCTTAATCTGAGCTCGGTTTCCAAAGTCCAAAGACTTTTGCCTCCCTGAACAGGTGGCTCTTTGTAGCCAGGAGTCAGAATCAGTTTTCTAAAATGCTTATTTATTAACGTTTAGCTGCAGGGAGGGCATGACTTAATAGCACTAAATCCATTCACCCAGTTGCTGAGCTCACTTCCTGAGGGGTGTTTCTCTACAAGGATTCTTTAAATTCTCTGATATTGCTGCTTGCCCCAAATGTGCTGTTCTGTCTTCAGTGGCAGCTGCTAACATGCATGAAAATCTGTCCTGCCCTGGTTTGTGTCGGAGCTGGGAGAGGCGACAGAGGCAGTTTTCCCAGAGGACATTCTGCCATAAGAAATGTGTTCAAGAATTGGGCTCCTTTTATTGCAAACTGTGCTTCCCTTGCAGAAAGCCCTTCCTTTTGTGAGCAAAAGACATGCTCCTAGTGTTTCTGGAAGGGCCTCTCTAGCCATTTGCTGGGATAGCTGCTCAGAGTCATTTAGACCAAAGAACGTGTGGTCTTTCCTTACTGGGATTTTCCTATAGAAAAAAGGAAATGAATAGAACAGTGGTTCTCAAACTTTTGTACTTGTGACCCCTTTCATATAACAAGCCTCTGAGTGCGACCCCCCTTATAAATTAAAAACACTTTTTTATATATTTAACACCATTATAAATGCTGGAGCAAAGTGGGATTTGTGGTGGAGGCTCACAGCTCGTGACCCCCCATGTAAGAACCGCACGACCCCCTGAGGGTCCTGACCGCCAGTTTGAGAATCCCTGAAATAGAACTCTTCATCTGAGCTCTTAGCAAGAACATTAACGGGCTCTGTAAAGAACACTCACTGTAATAAATGAGAGCAGGATCTAAGTTATGATTGACTCAAAGTAACCAACCCCATTCCTTAACTCACTGAGTTCAGGACAGTGCCATGCTGAGCGTGCAGCATCTTGGTGGGTGCCAGTTTGTGTGTCAGTCGCCATGTTGTTTCCTCTACTGATTGGGGGAGGGCATAGGAGCTCTCTTGCCAGCAGAGGGAGACAGAAACTTTCCCTCTAATACACCCTAGCTGCCTGTCTCCATTGTTCTCCTTTCACCACAGGTGGAAATACCTTTCTGACTGACTCCACTAGCTTTCTGGTATTTGTACTGCTTTTTCCCAGTACAAACTGTTCCTCCCCCTAGGACTGAGAGTTCTGTCTTTGCACCCATTTTCATACTAAATGTTCTGTGGCAGCCACTGCAGATGCTGCTCCCATAAGTGGAGCCTGCATACTATGGCCCATTGGAGAGAGGGGCCATTCCACTCACTTGGCATTTGCTGCTGTCCGGTTTGCCGTGTGGAATGAGATGAGTGGCTTCCCTCCCTGCTAATACAGCTTCCCGAATCCTGCTGGTACCAGCCCAGACACTCACCCTGCATTTCTGGTGGGCTGGTGGAGTCAGGACTCTTTTCTGTGAAGCTCTCTCATCTATACTGTAGAGTGTGTGCAGGTTTTCGCTAAATCTTTATGATTCATGGTAACTGCTGAATGCAAGCAGTTGGCCAGCACCTTCTGGAGAGGAGTAACATGTTGCAGCTTTGCTTAGTGTCTGTCCCCATTTGCTAATTAGGAGAAGTTATACACATTAAGGGATGTTGGAGGAAAAATCCGACTTGGGCTCAAGAAACTGTATATGCCAATGGCAGGGATTCTCCTATTGGCGTAGGTAATCCACCTCCCCAAGAGGTGGTAGCTAGGAATTCTTCTGTCAACCTAACACTGTCTGCACTGAGAATTAGGTCAGCTTCACTACGCTGCCTGGGGTGTAGATTTTTCTAACCTAATTTTCTAGTGTAGACCAGTCCTAACTTCATTGCAGATTCCATACACAACAGCAAACATCTCCTTATTTTTCAGCCTTTTATAAAAGTTATGATGTGTGTGAGATGAATTCAGAACTTGTCTAGATCATGTGTAAATAGCAGGACTCTTCAGAATTAGAGAATCAAAAGCGTTGGGTCAGCGTCTGCTGGGATGGTTCAGCAGGAAGCCTTTTAGTTAGAATATTTCCCTATTGAAAATAAGAGGCTGTGTGCCAATAGGGAAAATAACACCGGGAAAGCAGAGGCCTGAAATGTACAGGTCACCATGCAGTGAGCTCTCCAGGTCGTTAACAGCCACCTGTGTTTCAGACTTTACAAAGCTTCCTCTCCACCCCTCCAGTTAAACCAGCTGATAATGCAGCTGCTATGTGCCTCTGGGCTACCTGGGTAGCCTCGCAGAGCAAAGAACAAGCATCTCAGTAGAAGATTTATTTTTTGTATACGCCTTTCCTTTTGAAACAAATTTTATCAGCTCCATATTTTGCCAGTCCTCTTAAAGCTGAGGAATTTCTCTGAGGCTTTGTCTACACAACCGCCCATATCGGCAAAACTTATATCACTCAAGGGTGCGAATATTCCACCGCCCAAAGCAACATAAATTACACTGACAAAAACACCAGTGTGCATGGTGCTAGGTCAGCTTCTGCTGCCTGCAGGGGTGGTATTTCTGTGCCGAAGCGAGAGCTCTGTCCCATTAGCACAGAGCGTCTTCACTAGGTGCGCTGCAGAGGTACCAATACAGCTGTGCCACTGGACGTGGAGACGTGATATCAGATTCTACAGAGATTTGAACATAGAATACCAGGGTTGGAAGGGACCTCAGGAGGTCATCTAGTCCAACCCCCTGTTCAAAGCAGGACCAATCCCCAATTTTTTATTTTTTTTGCCCCAGATCCCTAAATGGCCCTGTCATAAATATAAAGGGAAGAGTAAACACCTTTAAAATCCCTCCTGGCCAGAGGAAAAACCCTTTCACCTGTAAAGGGTTAAGAAGCTAGGATAACCTCGCTGGCACCTGACCAAAATGACCAATGAGGAGACAAGATACTTTCAAAAGCTGGAGGGGGGGAGAAACAAAGTGTCTGGGTCGTCTCTGTGTTGCTTTTGCCGGGGACAGAACAGGAATGGAGTCTTAGAACTTAGTAAGCAATCTAGCTAGATATGCGTTAGATTATGATTTTTTTAAATGGCTGAGAAAATAAGCTGTGCTGAATGGAATGGATATTCCTGTCTTTATGTCTTTTTGTAACTTAAGGTTTTGCCTAGAGGGATTCTCCATGTTTTGGATCTAATTACCCTGTAAGGTATTTACCATCCTGATTTTACAGAGGTGATTCTTTTTACTTTTTCTTCTATTAAAATTCTTCTTGTAAGAAACTGAATGCTTTTTTTTTTTTTCATTGTTCTTAAGATCCAAGGGTTTGGGTCTGTGGTCACCTATGCAAATTGGTGAGGATTTTTATCAAACCTTCCCCAGGAAGTGGGGTGCAAGGTTTTGGTGAGGATTTTGGGGGGAAAAGACGTTTCCAAACGACTCTTTCCCAATAATAAACCCAGTTAGACATTTGGTGGTGGCAGCGAAAGTCCAAGGGCAAAAGGTAAGATAGTTTGTACTTTGGGGAAATTTTAACCGAAGCTGGTAAAAGAAAGCTTAGGAGGTTTTCATGCAGGTCCCCACATCTGTACCCTAGAGTTCAGAGTGGGGAAGGAACCTTGACAGGCCTCCTCAAGGATTGAACTCACAACCCTGGGTTTAGCAGGCCAATGCTCAAATTGAGTGAGCTATCCCTCCCCCCAACATGACACATTTGAACTGTTAAAAGGGTTTAGCTTCTTTTTTGTTTTTAAACAAAGTAGCTCTTTGGCATCTGACTGTCTGATGCTTTTGTCTCCTGCTGACTTGTAGCGAATTGGTTTAAACAAGCTCGGAGCAGGCGGAGATTTAGAAAAGGTGTTCATGGCAGATTCTTTTGTCACTTTTGACTGGCTTAGCGTTGACAGCAGAGTGACATTTTGAGCACGTCAACACTACAAAAAAAAAAAATGCAACACCGGTCTCAGACCCCAGATCAGTGGACAGGGGCTCACACCACAGCACTAAAAATAGCAGGGCAGACATTCCTACTCCGCTAGAGCCTGGACTCTGCAACCTGCCCCTCCCACCAGGTTTCAGAGCCTGGGCTCCAGCCAAAGCAGGAATATCTATGCTACTATTTTTAGCCCCACAGCAGAAGCCTGAGTTAGCTGACCCACACTGAGTTGACTAGGCTCTGAGACTTGCTGCTGCAGGGTTTTGTTTTTGTTTAATTTGGTTTGGCTTTCTTTGTTTTTTGGGTTTTTTTTTAGAGGAGAATCATAGAATCATAGACTTTAAGGTCAGAAGGGACCATTATGATCGTCTAGTCTGACCTCCTGCACAACGCAAGTCATGGAATCTCACCCACCAACTCCTGTAACAAACCCCTAACTTATGTCTGAGCTATTGAAGTCCTCAAATTGTGGTTTAAAGACTTCAAGGTGCAGAGAAACCTGCAGCAAGTGACCTGTGCCCCACGCTGCAGAGGAAGGTGAAAAACCCCCAGGGCCTCTGCCAATGTGCCCTGGGGGGAAATTCCTTCCCGACCCCAAATATGGCGATCAGCTAAACCCTGAGCGTGTGGGCAAGACTTACCAGCCAGACACCCAGGAAAGAATTCTCTGTAGTAACTCATATCCCATCCCATCACAGGCCATTGGGCATATCTACCGCTAGTAGTCAAAGATCAATTAATTGCCAGAATTAGACTTCCCATCATATCATCTCCTCCATAAACTTATCAAGCTTTGTCTTGAAGCCAGGTATGTCTTTTGTCCCCACTTCGTCCCTTGGAAGGCTGTTCCAGAACTTTACTCCTCTGATGGTTAGAAACCTTCATCTAATTTCAAGTCTAAACTTCCTGATGGCCAGTTTATATCCATTTGTTCTTGTGTCCACATTGGTACTGAGCTTAAATAATTCTTCTCCCTCTCTGGTATTTATCCCTCTGATATATTTATAGAGAGCAATCATATCTCCCCTCAACCTTCTTTTGGTTAGGCTAAACAAGCCAAGCTCCT